TATATATATATATATATGAGTTAACACTGGAGATTCAGTTTCTGTTTCAGCCGTCGGCATCAGCTCTTTGTGGTTGTCCTCTATATTAAACACTTAAGCAGCTGGACTCAACAACCACAACGAGTCATAACATTCAGTGGTGAAGCAGTAGTGTTTTTCAAATTTTATTACTGGTGTCCTGAAATATTAAATAAATCTCTTACGTCTGTCACAAGCTTAGTTTGTGGGTTAGTCAACGTTTCTTCAGAGTGCTGAAATATTGGTCCATATCATTCAGTGCAGAATTGTTTGGGCTGACAGTAGCTAAGTAATGAAGACATGTAATTTGGGTTTCAACAACAACAATTTCAACATGAACGTGGGCCTACTTTTGGTCGGGATTTAGCCCTCGAGAAGAACAGTAGTGAGCTATAGGTTACAATATAAAATGAAATTGATTATTTTAAGTTATTGAATAGCTGACGCTGGGAATTTCACAGTGGGCTAAATATACTCTCATCACAGTTTCCAATAAATAAATGAAAAAATAACAAAGATCAATGATATCTTAATAGACGTTCGCCTAACCAGAAGTCCAGAATTTTTAACTGGTTATACTGTAATTTGTCCAGACAATCGTATAAAAAGCAATAAGTTAAGTGACTGTTATATTTTTCTATCATTTAAAAGCATCATAAATGTGACAATATCTATAAAATAACATAAAATATGTTATTAAAAAAAGGTTTTGGACTTTAGACTAGATTTTACAGTCCCATTGTGAAATCTGCAATTTAAACAAGTGATTATGCATGACTGTCTCAGTGTTTAAACTTCTTTTTATAAGCTACTAGATTAAAATTTCACTCCATTACCTAACTTCAATTTATTGAATAGAAACAGCATCGGCCTCTGTCTCTGAGAAAACTAGTAAATTGGATATTTTTCCCAGTTTCTTCTGTTCCTAAAAAAACTGAATCAGCCATGCCACAGCTGTTTGTGTCTGGAGCTGTGTGTCAGACTGTTCTTTTTATTACATAAAAGAGATAAGTTCAGTTTTGTCCAAGTGGATGAAAGGTGACAAGTGTGTGTATGAAAAAGAGTGCACTAATGAGCCAATCTGTCTAACATTGATGCAGAGTGGGTATTTCACCTGTTGAACTCTACCCACACTGCCAGCCCCAACACACACACACACAC